TCCGGTTATTAATCATACGTTGATCGGCAGGAGTTGAAATGTAGGTTTTTGTTTGTTCGTTTTTCGGCCATTTTTTTGCTTCGCCTGATGGCCGCGGCAGTGCGAATGCCGGCGCCCCCGTCCCGTGGCACGCGCACGCCGTGCGGATTGCGGCAACTACGGGGCTGAGCATGTACCCCGTCGGGGGGCGTCGGAAGAGGCTGAGCGTTTATTTGGTTGTAATCGTATCTTCAGAATGTAGTCGATATCGTGTGCGAGTAAGCGTTAGACTGTGAGTAGAAATGGACTTCGGTTAATGAGAAATTGGAAGAACGATATTCCCGTTACAAAAAGAAATTTCATACTTTTTCTACGTGTCCCAATATCTTTTATAACGTCATATTTAATTTGTTAAAATGTTTTTGAGGTAATTTTTAAGATTCGATTTCTAACCTTGAGTATTGACTTCAAACATGGTTTATGCTTCAATTATTTTTTAGTAATTAAACTATTCTACCAAAGAAAATATTCGGTGTGCGACAAAATTGATGTGAATTTCATTATTTAAGTTACTAAAACAAGAATTATTTCGTAACGCCCGAGGGTGGCTTCGAGGCACAGAGCTGCCGGGCAGGAGCCATCGTGGCAGGCTGCGGGGGGCGGGGCGGGGAACGGCGGCGCTGCACCCGAGGGAGGACGCGCGAGCGGCGCAGGTGCGGATCGGCTGCCGAGGGGCGCGCGACAAGAGCGGAGATGTCGGAATGCTGTTCCCAGAACCCCGGGTCGCTGACAATCGGAGGGAATGTCCCGTTGGCACGACGGCAATGCTGCAGTGATACGTTTGAAAACGAATTTCTATGAAAGTAGCTGCGGCAATCGTCTTTATTTCTATGGTATAAAGGAACGATAAAGGAAACTCGAGTTATCAAAAAACTGAGTGTGCTTTTTGTGCGAAATCGGCGGGTACCTTTTATGTTAAACCTTACTTCTCCTTTTATACCTTACTTCATTCTTTAATCGGATTAAATTTAAATGTTCGCCAGAAAATTCCTTTCTTTGAAACGTCCTTGTAATTTTTGCTTTCGATTAATTCGGTATTTCAATAGATCCGTAGTTTTAATTACCTTCACACAGATTGTAATACTAAAATGTTGGAGCCGCAACGGACGGAATTAAATAGCTATGAAAGCCCGTTTTACATCGAAGATTTACATTGTTAGTAATTATACTAGACCAAGAAATGCAAATTAGTGAAGCTTTTCTTTGTTACAGAATTAAACGATTACAAACTTCCAGCGCATGTAAAAGACTGTGTCTGAGGCTTAAATAGGGAGTGAAAACGTGCATGTGGCGATTGCTAATTCATTGCTACAGGTATTACTGGCAATGAAGAGAAAGGCCGAGTGGCCGGGTTAGAAGAAGTCGTGAATTCATCGCAGTTGAATCGGGCGGGGCCTGAGGGTGCACGCGTTAGATCCCCGCACAAATCATTATTTAACCGTCCGCGAGGGAGCTCCGTGGATCCGGAGTGGAAGGTGGGGACGGAACTCAATTGAAGAACCGCCCTGAAAAATAGATTGTGACTACGCACGGGTGTCAAAATGCGCAGCACCTGACTGACTGCCAAAGAATTCAGCATTTTTCAATTCGCGTTTCATTTTAGAAGAGAGACGCACTACTATATGTCTGTTCGAGTCTTTGAGAAACACAGGGGCTTCTTTTAAAGAGGACCACTGCGGGAAAAGCCTTGTGCGGAGTCAGCCTTGCAAGCGCAATACTCCCTCAATAAACGTGACTAGAGGGCGAGTGGAAGTGGTGGAATTGATGCAGCCCACAGAGTAGTGGAAAGAATGCAGCGCCACTCCCTCTCGATGCGTGGTCATCTGTGAACGTGGGCTATGGCCGCATGTTTTCGGGCGACGCAGTACGGCCCGTGGGCCGGGTACGCGCTTCGGGGCGGGC